GTTCGCTTCTTCGCTCCTCAAGCATGTTTTGTGTTCCCTTGAGTTCGAGATCAAGGCTATGCATGACATCCTCGTGGAACTTCTTGGTTGTAGCAAGCTCCCGCTTGAGGGCATCAGCCTCGGAAGTGTCAGGCTTGGTGTTCTTGGCCTCCTCAAGCTCAGCAAGAGCAGTGAATCGCTCGGTCTTCTCCTGAGCGAGCCGCTGAGAAAGGTCCTCAACTTCTTGTTGAGCCTTGGCAAGGGATTCTTGAGCAGCCTCCAGAGAAGCCTCGAGTTTGGCGTTGGAAGCAGCCTGTTGGGCGAGCTTGTCCTCCAGGTGACTGTTGTTGCTCCTGTGCTCAGCCATCATATCCTCGATAGCCTTGGTGTGCGCCAGAGTCATCTCCTCCAGTTCCTTCTTGACATCGCCGCCTTCCCGCTTCATGCGCTCAATGGCCTCGCCGTTGAATTCGAGAAGCTTCTCAACCTCATCGGCATGTTTCTGCTGAAGCTCGTATCGAGCCATCTCAATAGCTTGTGAGTTGGACTCGCGTGCTTTCTCGACCTCCTCCTTGGCGGTCTCAAGCTCAGCCTTTAGACTAGCCAGTTCTTCAGCGTGCTTGTTTTCGCCAGCCTTCTTGGTTTCCTCAAGTTCTACCCTCAAGGCCTCCAACTCAGCCTCCAATGACTTCTTGGCGGCATCTCTGGCAGCCTCAAGATCAGCCTTGAGTTTGGCGATTTCGGCAGCATGGGCTTCATCGCCAGCATTCTTGGCAGCCTCGATGCCTTCTTGAGCCTTGGCCAAAGCCTCAGCATGCTCCTTGTCGCTAGCATCCTTCTCAGCCTCAAGCTTGGCCTTCAGAGACTCAAGTTCAGCAGCATGAGCAGTCTCACCAGACTCTCTAGCACTGTCAAGCTCCGTCATGAGCCTAGCGATCTCGGTAGCATGGGTAGTTTCACTGGCATCCTTGACAGAGGCCAATTCGCTCTTGTGACCGGCAACAAGCTTCTCTTTTTCCTCGTCGTGCTCTTTCTTCAGAGCCTCTAGAACACTAGCATGAGCAGCCTTGATCGACTCAAGCTCCTCAGCATGGGTAGAGGCACCTTCGTTCTTGATCACTTCCAACTGCTTAGCATGGCTCTCCTTCAGAGAATCGAGCTCGGCAATGTGAGCATCGTGGTCACCTGAGGCAGAGTTCTTTGCAGACTCGAGCTCCTCAGCGTGACTGGCACGGAGAGCATCGAGATTCTTCTGGTGCTCGGCCTCCTTCTCTTCCAAAGCAGCAACGGCAGCAGCATGTTCGGCCTTGGCAGCTTCGAGAGCCTTGGTGTGGCCTTCAGCGGCCTCCGAAGAGGAGGTCTGGAGCTCGTTGTGCTGGGTTTCAAGCTCCTCGTACTTGCGCTTGAAGAAGGCGTCTCCTCGAAGAGACTCGATTTCGGTCTCGTAATCCTGAGAAATGTTTTTCATGCGCTCCTCGTGCATCTCCTTGACCTTAACAATTTCGTCTTCCTTCTCAGCAAGAGACTTTTGAGCCTCTTCGGCGGCAGCCTTCAAGGATGCAGCCTCCTCTTGAGCCTTAGCAAGATCTTGCTTAGCAGCCTCGAGCTCGGTTTCCTTCTCGGACAAGCTGGACTGAAGCTTGGCGATCTCGCCATTGAGAGACTCGATCTCGGACTTGGCTGCCTCGACATCCTTCTCAGCAGCCTCCAGCTTCGCCTTCGCGTCTGCGGCATCAGCCTCAAGAGTAGAAATCTTGGAGCTGTGCTCCTCTTGCTCAGACTTCAGCTTATCGTCGTTGGCGGATTCGAGGGCAGACTGCGAAGAGGTTAATTCGTCGATCTTCTTTTGCAACTCAGCAGTCGCAGCCTCATGAGAAGCCTTGAGCTCGGCCAAAGCAGTCTCGTGGGAGGAAGCGTCAGCCTGACCCTTCTCAAGATCCTCCTTGTGTTTTGCTTCCAGAGCCTCGATGGCGGATGCCTTCTCAGCCTCAAGAGCAGCCTTCAACTCCTCGATCTTGGATGCGTTCTCCTCAATGGCCTTCTGTAGTGCTTCCTGACTAGAGTTGAGCTTCTCCTCATTCTCAGCCTGAGTAGCCTCGAGCTGCTTCTTCAATGAGTCGAGCTCAGTCTCACTTGCTTCCTTGGCGCTAACAGCAGCATCGAGGTCAGCTCGAAGCTTCTCAAGATCGCTCTCTGCAGCATGCAGCTTCTCGTTCGCCTCAGTAACCTGGGTCTCGAGAGAAGCAATTGCAGCCTCGTGCTCAGACTTGAGAGTGGCAATTGCTTCGTCGTTGTCTCCACTGGCCTTCGCGTCGGTCTCGATAGGGGTCGCCTCATTGCCAATCTTCTCAGTGAGCTCAGCGATCTTCTCCTCCGAGCTCTTCACCTCAGCCTTAAGAGCTTCGATCTCGCTCTCACCTTCCGCCAGCTTGGCCTTGAGGGCCTCAATCTCCTTAGCAGATTCCGCAGAAGCAGCAGGTCGAGTTGCAGTTCGGGACGCAGCAGTCAAGGAGCCCGAAGTAGAGAGACGCTTGCTAGCGGTGGGTGTTGCAGCCGTTGATCGAGTGGCGGCCGTTCGTGTCGCGGTAGTGCTAGGGGTAGCTGCCGTTCGGGTAGTAGAAGTTCGTGGGGCCGTGGTGGATGTCGACGGAGGTCGTCGAGTAGCAGTTGCCGAGCTTGTAGTACCAACGGTCCTTCTCTCAGCAGTCTTGCCTGGGCTAGACACAATAGAGCTTGTCCTACGGGCAGAAGAAGCGGTGGAGGTGGTCGACTTCTTGTCATCTTCGCTGGCGCTCATACTAGGTCGGCTTCGGTGGCTCGCGCTAGAAGTCGATGTCGCAGGACGGCGAACAGTCGAGGCAGGAGGTCGGGTTGGGGGCTTGCTCAGACCGCCAGGCGCGCGAGTGCTAGTCGCAGCAGGCTTGGCCGTGGTCGAAGTAGAGGCAGGTCGACGGGTAGCCGTCGTGGAGGTTGCAGTAGGCTTCTTCAAAGCTGGCTTTGACTCTCCATTCTCCTTTGCCTTCTCCTTAGGAGTCTCGGGGGACGCAGGAGCGGTTGCCTGAGGGCTCTCGGGCTCAGTGGCAGCAGCATCAGACTGAGAAGCGACAGCTTCCTCGTGCTGAACAACGTCAAAGCTCTCGGACTCAGACATGTTTGGGGGATCGAAAAGGTAATTAAAAGTAAAGTTCTATATGAAAAGCAAATATTAGCAAACAGAAAAATAAAGAGAAGTGTACCCGGGATAGGTTATATATGGATGTCGCACGGGACTTTTTAGGTCAGTCGTTCAACAACCAAGCTCGACTGTCATCCCAGGATAATCAAGAGAGGCCAGGGGAGAAAACAGCACGAGCCATGAGCTCTTTTGGCAAGGATATGTAGGTATCAGCCGCTAGGAATTGGTTAATCTCACCTTGAGTTGGACTCCTTTTTAACCAGCAAAACCGCGCTTCGCTGGCAGCTAGAAAACCGTTTACAACGGTGGAGTATAAGACAGATAGAATTAAGGAACGAAGGAAAGAAGCAATGCAATGCAATGCAATGAAGCAGTTAGAGAAGTCTAGAATGACTCCTGCACTGACGATGTTCGCAAGCTTCTTGTAAGAGGTAGAGGAGATGAAATTGGGAAAGGGAAGAGAGAAAGCTGAGCTGTCTTGTCGATGGGACGGGATATTAGATTGCGGATGGATACGTACCTCTTGGTCTATCACCTTGTGATCCATCCATATCCTGAGCTGTTCTTCCCATTTCCACACGGGCAGTGGTCAAAGTGGAGTTTCACCGGCCACTAACATTGCTTTTTCTCTCAGGGCCCTGATGGTCCCCCAGCGGTCGGACCGTAGCGACGGTTCCAGGGGGGGCGGGGCTGCTCGTCCACTGTCGCTTCGAATCAGGGGTCTTTGGGCTACGCGCGGGTGGCTTCCATCTGGGTTTGGTTCCTGGTCCAGGATCCAATGACTGATGGCTCTCGCTTCTGGGCGGACATTAGACTGCCATTCAATGTCTTGGACCAGAGACACTGGACCATTCGTTAAGGCAAAGATCAGTCTGGCCACTGAGATACCCCAAAGAAGCCCTAGACATTGGGCAACACCTGGTTCTGCATGCGACGACCCGCCGTATTGACCTAAGTAAGGCACTATATGCAATGCACGGCAATTAATGCAAGCCACGACCTGGGTAGCTTTCAGAAGCCTGAAGATCTATGAGCTACTTTATCCCAAACCTCACATTCTCTTGGTTCAGGTCAATTAAGAGCCCAAAGGCAAAGGATCCAAGGGCGAAAGCCATGCTCGTGGCTGAATCTATCAAATCTCCCACGGCGCGTGGAAAACGCGTGAAGATGGCCAAAATAAATCATGATCTGTTGACTTATTACCCCAAATGACCTAGACCTGATTCGCCGCTTTTCTTACCTGGGCAATAGCGTGGTCCCTTCACCATCACATGTGGCGTTAAAGGCGCTTCAACCAATTCCAAAGTCTGTGATCAATCATACAAGAACCCAAAAGATCAATGCAATATGTTCCGGCTGATACAGGCCAAGTGTCTAAATCACCGCACCATTGCAGGGCGCCCAAGTTTGCGTTGCATGTGCTGGCGGAATCACGGATGCTTTGTTCTTGATGCACCGAATGTGTCAATGTGATAGACACATAATGCTACCTTGGGAGTCAATGATGTGGCATTACGCCGTTGGCAGAACCTCAGGCGTCCATGGAGGACATGAAACGTATCCGTACACCAACTCAACTGCTGACAATTGATACCGGCTTCTTTTGGATCCTGAAGTCATCAAGGAGAGCCTTGATGAGTTCATCATGACTGATTCGCTTTGTCGCTATGGATGCGAGTTTTGTACTACGTTGGGTAATAATACTTTTTGCCATGGAAATGCATATATGTAAACGTTCTTTCATTAATCATATGCAGTTCGCTTGAATTTCAAGAGGCGTATCTGGTATTGCTCAGGGTATCGTAAAAGCAAATGCTCCCAACTCCAATACTCCCTGACCTTGGTCTCAATCTTCAGCAACACACCATCGAGGCGGCTGGATACCCTTTCGCTGGTATTTGTCCCGCATAACCATTCTCAGATAATCTGACCGTTCTTTCAGCTCATCAGGATCTCGATTGGGAAGCATCCGGTGGAGGACCTCGTAGTTCGGGTGGGATGTGGTTCGGATCAAGCTTAAGAGTTGATCATCTTCCCAGTAGTGCCAGCCATGCTTCTCAAAATAATCATCATCCGACGGCTCTTGCGATCTCATCAAGCCTGGCTGACTAGCTATGGAGCGATAGCGCACTGCCCCCCGATATGAGCCTATCGTGGACGGACGCGCTTGAGATGATTCAACCTTCTGCATCGACTGTAGAAAGCGCTGCATCTGCATATCTTGGATCTCCCTGCGCCGCTGCGCATCAGCCTCGCGTTCCCTTCGAATAGCTTCATCCTTCTCCATATTTCTTTTTCGTTCGATCGGCGCTCTCTTGATAGCATCAATCCTTTCTCTGGCCTTCTCGAGCGATGCCTTGAGCCGCTTTGTGGTCTCCCTGAAGACTCTTCGATCCTCCTTAGACTTTTCGCTTTGATCACGTTCTCTTCTGGGAGGATAAAGCTCGTACCAGCTTTCCACGACGTGGGATAGTCTCTGGATCCAGCCTGCAGTCCTTTCCAGTGGCTCGAGTGTATACACTGTAAATTCTCCTTTTTCGGCCTTCTCATCAGGTCTTCCAGCCTCGAAAATTCGTTCTAATACCAGAACCAGCATAGGAATGATGCGTCTGTGCAACTTTGTCACATATTGAAAGCCCTGGCCCACTTGCTTCGCGTCGCCCTGCTCCATTATCGTGTTGATGGATGAAATGAATTCGTCAATTGCCACGCGAAGTGTGGTGTATAAACTGCTGAGCTGGGCTGTGTGCTCGCGAAAATATTCCAACTGCTGTGAGTTCGATGATGACGGGATCTCCTTGCATAGTTCGTGGAGACTGTGTAGTTTACCCAAGATAAGCCTCGATCGCACACGTCCATCCTCTTCCAAAGCTTCAGAAGCTATTTTTGCGAGCGCGAGAATGCCCTCCTTCCATTTCCTTCCATTCATCCACCCTGATTTAGTTATGCCCGTAAGGAGTTTCTTTACTGTATCTCGCTTTACCCAGGCGGTAGGGGTTAGGAGCGCTGTTTGCGAGCCACTCGGTGGTTCGTCGAGGAGCAACGAATCTTCAGTCAGATCCGATATATCAAGCTCATGTTCTGCTGCCGGCTCATTATCATCGGAGTCTATATCTTCATTCTCATATTCCCCGTCTTGATCTCCATTCTTATCTTTCTTTCGGGTACCCTCTTCATTTCGCTCTTCTTCTGGCTCTTTCTCAGCCTGTGTTGGTATTTGGCCATTTTGTTGCTCACGTTGACTTCTCTTTCGTTTGCCCTGTTTAGTTTTCCGTCTATGTTCAGCCTGCGTGCCGTGGGTCTCCCTCCCCCTTCTTGACAATATCGGTTGACTTGGTTGCTCTCCGTCGGACGGAACGTCATAGTAATCACCCCCAGCGTGGATCTGTTGTGACGCTGATGCCTCTATGGCTGCCGCCTCAGGAAGTGCCGAACCGAGCTCCGGGGACACGCTCCTTGCATTATAACCAGGTGCGCCATAAGGCGTCTTCTGACTCTGGCGTCTGCGTTTTCGTGGTAACGATTTCATTTGAGAAGATGGATTAATTTGTGCCATCTCTTGCGTTGCTGGTGGAGCCTCCTGCCCAGATACTCGATCTTCTTCATGTGGTGCTTCTGGTTGCTCAGGACTTGGAGCTGAAACTTGGCTATTTTCAGCGTTGTCTGGTTCCTGCTCCTGTTGTATGCCGTCTAAGGCGAAAATTTCGTCCGACTCTACAGTTTGAGGAGCTTCTGACCCAGACATCCTCCTCCCAGCTCTCTCCAGGAGTAGCTCGTTCCTAGAATTATTGCTATCTAGGATGTTCGAATTGATGATATTCATCAAGTCCGTGTGTTCCGGTAAGGCGTTTTCCTCCCCTTCCGAGGCCTCTTCGTGTTCCTGGTTCAGTTGAGGTTGTTCATCCCCTTCAGCACTTTCCAGCGCAGCTTTGCGACGAGAACGACGCAGGCGCTTGAAACCTGCGTCCGTAGCCAGATGTTTTCTCGGAGCGGGCGAGGGTAGTTTTTCATGGGGAGTATTGGCTCTTTTCGATCTCGTGACCCGGCTTTGGTTCGTAGAGGGCTGATCTCGCGGGATTGCATGAATGGTTGACTGCCGACTTGAGTTCGACCCCGATGCATTGATGTGTACCTCAATGTTTGACCTAAGCGCGGAAGATGTCTCTGACTGCTTTCTTCTAGTACGTTTTCGCGGATTTACTGTCGCTTCAGGCTCAGCTGATGATCCACCGGCCTTACCCCTGGACCGCAACTGCACCACCATCTTGAGGTTTTGTTATTGTGTTGTGTTATTGAGAGTGCCGAACGCGCCAAGGTAGCGCGCCCACGGATATCGATGTGACCGCGGTTCGGGATACGTCGAAAATTCAATGAGAGACTTACTTTTAAGCTCGTTAGCTGTAGAGGTAAGTTTGAGGCAAGCTGAGCTCTTCCAAATTAAGTTGAAGTAGTTAACGGCGTTCAAAGCAGGCGCATTGAAGGTCGGGAAGGTGAAGTGGGGCAGAGGAAGCTTAAAGCTGGGACAAAGAGCTCCCCTGCGACATGACAAATGACATAATTGTCGGGACGCGGTAAGAATATATATTGTATGCGACCCCGATTCTTGAAGCATCAAGTAGATATTATATAGCTTGATGGCCTGAAGTCCTGAAATGGGTGCTTTTCTTTCCGTGAAGTGGCTGTATATCTGTCGGAAATCTTCAGAGCAGCCCGTCGCAAACATCATCATGATCCCTGTATGCATATCTTATCAAGAATTCCCATGAGGCCCGAAGCCGACTCAGCTTCAACCAAGCACCGACGCCCACTTGATCATTTCTGTACCGTAAAACTCATCCAATACCCCCAAATAAGATTTCCATTTTTGCTTCATATTAGAGAAATCCTCAGCGCTGTACCCGATTCGAGCCGTCGTCAACATGACGTCCACAACCCCTCCAAAACACCAGACTCTTGAGATCTTGGACCTCAGCTCCCCGCCAGCTTTCACCAAGCCCTCGAGGCGCATCAACGAAGGCCCCGACGTCGCACGTTTCCTCACCAGCCTCGCCTACCGCGATATCGGAACCTTCATCCTCCAGCTTAACCACGCCTTATGTCCTCGAAACCAAACATCGTCACCCCTCCCCCGCACCTTTCCCCTCAATTCCAAACCGCCGACATCGCCGTCCGTCCAAGCTCTACAGAACCTTTTGGCAAAGGTTGAGAGCTTCATCGACCAAGCACCACCCGACCCCGGTCCTCGGCGATTTGGGAATGTTAGCTTCCGAAAGTGGTATGCTATCTTTGAGGAGCATTTGGACGAGCTGTTGGGAGAAGGGCTTCTAGGTGAAACACTCAAAATTGGGGATGGAAAGGCGAAAGAAGAAGTCTCTAGCTACCTACTTGGTGGTTTCGGCAGCGTCCAGAGACTAGACTATGGAACTGGGCATGAACTCAGCTTTATAGCATTTCTTGGTTGTCTATGGAAGCTGGGATACTTCAAAGATGGACAACAAGGAGGCGAGATCGAGCGCGAGATTGTCCTTAAGGTTATCGAACCGTATGTTGCCTTCACATGCACTGAACGGATCCTACTAACACTATCAGATATCTCAACGTGGTGAGGAAACTCATCCTAACCTACACTCTTGAACCCGCTGGCTCACACGGCGTCTGGGGCCTCGACGATCATTCCTTCATGCCCTATGTATTCGGCTCTGCGCAACTCACACGACCTATAAACGATGACGAACCAATGCCTCTGGAGGGGTCTGTCAAAGGTGCGCCGAAGCCTAGTGACGTTACCAAAGCCGCTGTTGTGGAAGACCAGCGACAGGTCAATATGTACTTTTCCGCCATTGGCTTCATCAACGACGTTAAGAAGGGCCCATTTTGGGAGCACAGTCCCATTCTTTTTGATATCTCTGGTATTCGGGATGGTTGGGGCAAGATCAACAAGGGCATGATCAAGATGTTCAACGCCGAAGTATTGTCCAAGTTACCAGTTGTCCAGCACTTCCCGTTTGGTTCGCTCTTCTCTTGGGACGCTGATCCAGATGCTGCAACTCCAACACAAAGCGTCCATATGGCGAACCAGCCAACCACAGCAGTCCCAGTACCTTCAGGACCCGGAACAACTGCGCCATGGGCTCAAGCTGCCAGAATGCCAGTTCCACCGTCAGCCGGCATTCCCTATACTCGCATGCCACCCCCAGGGTCACTTGCTAGGCCACCTCGAGGCGCTGCACCGACAAGTGAATCCACAAGCGCACAAATCACTGTTACAAAAGCACCATGGGCTAGAGATTCATAGAGGATACATATACCAGCATCTGGTGAATTTTGGCATATTAGGAGTCAAGGACCGGACATAGATATTCATTTGCGCATTCGTCCCATAGAAGTCCATGAGATTCCAACGTCCCGTTATGAACGATTTTTGAATTTAGACTATGGGAAATATCACACGTCATAATAGTCCTTTGAATTTGCAATCTAATCGTATAAAAGCACAACGTGGAACTAGAGCGAGGGAAGTATCTAGATATAGAAAGCGGGTATATATTGGAAACAAAACATCGCGACACTTTTCTCTCTGGGTATCCAGCCAACTGCTAGGAGAAAAGCGAACAAACATCGACAGCGAGCCTGTCAAGTAACTGAGAGACTCGTGCCTCTCTGACAATTACGAACGCACATTCTTGGTACTCTAACCGATCAACGTCTTCCCATTCTCATCGAGATCTTGCCTCGAGAGAAGGGAAGCTTGCTCGAGTCGCACTTAAGCAGAGGCCACAGGGG